GTAGCAGTCTTTAAACATGAAGGACCACAGCCTGGATCAGCGAGTTGTTGAAGATGTCTGTGAGAACCCCAGCCAGCTGGTCAGCACATTCCTTAAGCACCCGTCCCGGTATGTCGTCAGGGCCCGCTGCTTTCCGGGTGTTCACTCTCCTCAGGGTTCTCCGGACATCAGCTGTGTCCAGGCTGATTGGCTGCTCATCGGAGTGAGGAATAGATTTCCTCGCTGGAGTGGTGTTGAGTGCCTCAAACCTTGCAAAGTAGTTGTTGAGGTCGTTGAGAAAGTTGATGTTGTTGTCACAGGGGGGAGGAGTAGCTTTATAGTCTGTGATGACTTGGATGCCCTGCCACATTCGTCTGGTGTTCGTGGGGTCCTCGAAGAAGTCCTGCACTTTCTGACTGTGAGCACGCTTTGCAACCTTTATGGCACGGTTCAGGTTGGCTCTGGCTGTTTTTGTGCCACCATGTCGCCAGATTTAAAAGCGTCGTTCCGGGCTTTCAGCATTGCACGTACCTCACTAGTCATCCAGGGTTTCTCGTTGGCCCGTGTGGAGATGTTCTTGATCACACTAACATCCTCCATGCACTTCTGAATGTATGCAGACACAGACTCGGCATACTCCTCCACACACGTCTGGTGATTGTCCGTAGCAGCCGCCTTGAACATGTCCCAGTCCGTGCATTCAAAGCAGTCCTGTAATGCTTCCATAGCTCCCTCAGGCCAGGCCCTCACCTGCTTCACTGTGGGTTTTTTCCTGATGAGCAGGGGCTTGTATGCTGGAATTAGCAGAGATGGTCTGAGGAGCCAAGGTGGGGGCGGGGTGCAGCCTTGAATGCCTTCTTGATGTTGCTGTAGGCCAGGTCCAGCGTGCTCCCACCCCTGGTTGCAAAATCCACATATTGATGGAAATAAGGAAAAACAGTTTTCATATTGGCCTGATTAAAGTCCCCTGCCACAATGAAAACTCCCTCTGGATGTGTAGATTGCAGTTCACTGATGGAGCGGTATAAAACATTAAGGGCTTCTCTGGTGTTTGCACTGGGAGGAATGTACACTGCTGTGAAGATCATAACAGTGAATTCCCGGGGTAAATAAAAAGGCCTGCATTTTATAGTCAGTAGTTCTACATCAGGAGAGCAGTGACTTGAGACTATCTCACCGTTGTTGCACCAGTTGTTGTTGGTGTATATGCAAACACCGCCGCCTCGGGATTTACCAGTAAGAGAGCTGCTCCTATCCGACCAAAATAATGTTAGCCCCTCTATGCTAACTGCCTCATCTGGAACGGATGGTTTCAGCCACGTTTCTGTGAGAAATATGGCGCAGCAGTCTCTCATCTCCCGTTTTGCAGTTAAATCCAGCTTCAGGTAGTCCAGTTTGTTCTCCAGGGAGTGGACATTAGAAAGCAGGATGGAAGGAAGCGGCGTTCTGTGCGGGTTAGCTTTTAGCTTGGTTGTTAGCCCCGCTCGGCATCCCCGTTTTTGCTTCCGGTAACACCGCTTCCGTCTCCTCCGCTGGCGGACACCGCTGGTACGAGGCTCCGCTGCTTCACAGGCCGCTGGATGTAGCCGGCGTAGTATTCCAAGGCTACGTAGAAGGTCCAGAATAGTCGCATCTACCGGACAGAAACTGTTTGATTTACCGAAAACTAAAATTGCCTGGCGGTCGTATATTACTTTAGAGTAACTACGCTGCAGGTTTACTGTGAAATTATCAGAACTGACTGGGTTATTTGCCATTATATTCCTGTTGCTATCACAAGCCACTGCAGCCGCAGCCGAGCAGGGCGCCGCCATCTTGGATAAAATGTTTGACTTTACTACCAGGATTATATGTATGAAGTTTCGGGACAGTACGACCGTGTTAAGCTCGTGAAAAAACTACTTCCTGTTTGATGGCGAGCGACACGTCCGTATGGCGACAGCGTTGGACATAGGTGTTTGAGCTTGAATGTCTTGTATGGCCAAGGTGTTAGCATGGTCCACACCAATTTTGAGGGGAAAATGAGCAACTGTGTAGCAATGGCTAATGCTAATTGAGAAGCAGTAACTTCCTGTTGTCAACAGGTGGCGCTGTGACTAATCAAAAAATGTCAATCATGGATGTGTTCAGGGTCCCGTATCATGCATGAGAAATTGTAATATGATTGAACACTAGATGGCAGAGATATAAGCATTTACTTTTTTGGCAACTTGCCAAAACATTCCAAAAAATTCAAACGCACGTCAAGGCCACGCCCTTTGATGAAATAACGTGCAGCGTACAATATATGTTGAGCCTGTCTAGAACGCACTGACACTGAGTTTGCGTCGATCGGATGAGCACCCTCGGGCAAGATCCTTCAACTAGCAAGGCTGAAATTGGCGATTTTGAGCCATTTTGGGCCATTATCGTGAAATTCAACTTTATATTTGTGGACTTCCTGTCGGGTTTTTTGAAACGCTGCAAGAGGATTTTTAGTCCGTCCCGACAAGCTTAATATGCATACTAATTTTCGTGAGTGTACGTGAAAAACTCTTTAAGGGGAGGCCATATTGATTAAAAATGTGTATAAAAAGAAAATAAAAGAAAATACAACACATAGAAGCAACAAGATATTAAAATAAATACATAAGAGGAAAATATTTAAAATTGTAATAGGATAAAAAAAGACAAGACAGTAATGTTAAGTGATAAAGCACTATATAAAAGCCAGACTATCTGTATTTAAACCAGAGTTTGGTCTCACAGTCAGTTTGTCTCAGTTCATTGTCTCCGTCTTATGAAATTCAAATGAACCCCGGCTCAGCCTCTCGATCAGCTTAGTCTGTGGGGAAATATTTTCAACCCTAACCACAAACCATGTATCACATCAGCAGCAGAAATAAGCAGCAAGAGACCCCTCCTCACCTCGTGGACGCTTCAGTCTTGTGTTCAGAGAGTCAACATGGAGGTCTGTGCTCTTAACATCAGGCTGTGTGAGTATGATCTTTATCTGTTTCACAGATATTTCCGTACCTGTTTTTATGAGATCTAACATACAACTCTTTTTCTTTCCAGTGATCTGTGTGTTATTCCTGTTGGGTGCACATGTTCAAGATGTGGGTATGTACCGTTAAGTTTCTCAAAGTTATTGTTCAAATTTTGGTATTTTGTATGACATAAGAGAACATGTCTTTCTTTGGTTTGTTTCAGATTCACTGATTCTCCGTCTTGAACCAAACAGACTGCAGTTCTTTGAATACGAGTCTCTGATCTTCCATTGTGAGGGCTCTCATGACTCGACTGGATTGAAAATTGTACATCGGTCCAAAGGGGAATTACTCAAATGTAACACTACAGTGACATCAAAAAGGTCATCCTGCACTATTCCTAATATTTTTCCAGAGGACAGTGGGCAATACTGGTGTGAGTCCGGAGATAGGAACAGAAGCGACATCATCCACATCAATGTTACTGGTAAGTTTGCATAAAGACGAGATCTTTACATGCACTCATCTTTGTGTGATATAAAATATGAACCCCATGTTGTTCAGCTGATCCTGTGATCCTGGAGAGTCCCATCAGTGTGGTGGAGGGAGAGACTGTGACTCTGCGCTGCAGACGCAAGACGACCTCTACCAATCTCTCAGCTGATTTCTACAAAGACGGCCGCCTTATCAGAAGAAGCTCTACAGGAAACATGAGAATCCCCAGTGTTTCCAAACATGATGAAGGATTCTACAAGTGTATCTCTGGAGGAAGAGAATCAGCCAAGAGTCTGATGGCTGTCCAAGGTGAGACACATCAGTGTTACCAAATCAAATTTAAAAATACATGTGATATAACTGTGTTGAAACAGTATATTGATTGATTTGAAAAGGACAGTGTACATTAATCAACATACAGACGGATGTAAATGTACTTCCATGTGGGATGGGTCTCATAAATGACCTGACATGGAAATAAAATGTGACGCGTTCCATTAAAATGAGTCGGATGTCGCAGCGGCCAGTGTGTGTAAAAACAAGTTTTTACAAGAAAATACGATTTTGGGCTGTTTTCAGTTTTTATATGTTTCTAATTAAATAAAGTCTCAGCTTTAATACAATGTCAAAATTAATGTAAAATTCAAATGATAAATATCACTAGCATTAATGAAACGAAACAGGTGTCAGATTTCAAAACGCCGGCTAGCGTCTTTGTGTGTTATCTGTCAGAGCGACATCTGTTTAGACGGACACGGAGACAGATTGACAGCCTAGACAAAATGAATTCGCGCAAAGACTTTGCTCGACTTTTAAATTCAATTCCTTGAAGAAATGCCACATCAGACGACGACTGAACCGACCTTATTACGGACTATTTCAAGCCCCGGCAGCTGAGAGAGAGAATGACACCGGCGGCTTGACCTCCGAGTCTGACTCGGCCTTCACCCCGCCGACACCGGCTGGCTCCGATCGAAGAAAGCGAGTGTGACGGAGGCGAGGAGGACCCGATGGTAGCTTACAATGTCTCCGATTTTAATAACATAAATGAAGATAGTGTAAAGGAAATCGAAATAGCTAGGGAGGTGTAGCTGCAAACACCACAACAGCAGCCCTTGTTACAAGCTCTTCGCGCCGGAGGAGATGGTGAGAAGACGGGACCAAATCAGAGAAATGATGAATGGTAAGTAATCTAGCCTACTCAGCTTGCTTGGCTACATGATGCTTGTTTTCTGTTTGTAAACGCAAGGAGGCCTAATAAGAAACTAACTTGCTATCGGTGCCTTATAATGTCTGTGTGTGAGTGAGTCTGTGTGTGTGAGTGAGTGAGTGTGTGTGTGTCTGTAAACTCTTTTAAAAACTATAATGATAAGCATATGACATACTTTATCTAATTTGCATAATGGTTATTTTTTCCAGAATATCTCAAAACAAGCTCACCAACTTATAAAATGTTATAAACAATATGGATTGGCACCAAGGATGAAAAGGTCTGGTGGGCGTGTTTTGAGCAGGAGGCTGCTGACTGTTCAGGACATCCAACGACTGAAGCAGTTCATGGTAAATTTTGCTGACGTCCACGCCATGCCACTCCCTGGGCACATCCCCGGTTTCAAAAGGTCTGACATCCAGGCGCTTCCCACAACAGAGACCATGACATCAGTGTGGCGGAAATACAAGGCTCAGATGTGCTAATTAAATAACACTAGATTGATTACATTGTACATAATTGTTTAAAATAGTCATATTAAATACTCTTCTACATTATTATTCCCACTCCTTAAAAATCATCAAAGGCTGGTTGCTAAGGACGCTGGACTGTTTTTTCCTGGAACACTCGCTTGACAGATTTTTGGCGCCATCTGGGGCCGCAATGTGTATTGACATTTAAAGGGACAAGCGAATAATTAGAGCTGCGCTCTGAATACTAGACCCCGAATATAAGACGACCCGACTTTTTCAGACCTATTTTGATGGGGGAAAAGGCCGTCTTATATTCGGGCCAATACGGTAATTGTTTTTAATGATTGGACGTGTTATCAAATTATTTATTCATTTCTTGCACTGTAACTTTTAGTACCTGTCTTATTCTATTTTAGCTTGTTTTTATTTTCGATAATCTGGGCTCCTTAATGATAATTTTTTCTAATTGTATTTAAGTCCTTTTATGTGTTTCTGTGCACTTTGTCACAATGTTTTGAATGTTTTATGTAAAGCACTTTAAATTGAATTGATTTTTTATAAATCTATTTCAATTCATTTGGAAAATGGCGGAATTTTGATTGTTGTCTTTAGTGCTCTTTTTCTCAATGACAAGGTTTGGTGACAGTCGACATTTGGAAGACTGTATCTCGTAGAATATCTGGATTAGAAAAAATATTTTTTGTATTGCCATGAAGCTGAGACTTTCCTCTTTACAGCCATGCAGAAAACTCAAAATATGTTTCTGGGTTAAAGTGACTCAAAATTATGGAGCAGGTCACAATTATTCATTCATTCATGTACCCAAGTTAGCGGATGGCTAATTTTTGGCTCACATCCTCTTCATCCCTTTGTAGGTTACCCGGTGAATCTGTGGTCTCATATTGGCAATGATTCAAGAGAATTGTGCTAGAACTTTACACCACAAGAAGGCGTGCATTATTTCTATTTGTCTTCTTTGCAGAGTCACACCAAGAGAGTCGTGCGTCCTCAGATCTTCCGTTGATCATCTTCAGAAACGTTCTCCTGTAGTAATGATGGCTTTGCTGCTGGTGCTGCTGGGATGGTTCCACTGTGGGAAACTCTGAGGTAAACCCACAGGTAAACAACAACACCTCGTGCACTCAAATCGAGATGGAGATACTGAAATAAAGGATACGACAGGATGAACGACAAAGACAGACATTTTCTCCAAAGTCTTGTTTGGTTGCCAGAAATGAAGAGCATCCCATAATGCTTCATTCAGCTACTCAGCTGCTGTCTTCCATGTGTTACAGTGCACCTTGTTCATTATATGTAATGATGATCCACTTAAATTCAGTGCATGTTGTGCAAACCAATGAAAACATTTTTAATCAGCTTAAAGAATCCAATCCATAGAAATGTTTTGACATGAGCAGATCAAAGAAAATGGCAGCACTTCCTGTTTGACATGTTTCACATATTTAATTCACTTGTTGATGAATGTTCAACACATGTTCGTTCTTCTTCTGTATAAGGACGTGACGATATCACAAGTCAAATCATGCTGTGCACAGTTTGTTTCAGTGTCTTTCTATATTTAATATTCACATCTGAGAGCACGTCTTCTCTCACCCTGACCCACGAGCCACAACTCATCTCAGCGTTATTTATAGAGCACCTGTCATACGTAAAGTCTGTGAGCCCATAATGTTTGTGTGAACACCGTCACTGTTAAAAAAGGACCCGAGATTAAAATTGTCTTTAAAACCCAAATCATGTGCTGCCCAAGCAATCAGCACGTGCAGCTCAGAGCTTCACTTCCTGCTCATATCTACATAAAATATCGACCTATTATACGAACATTTGTGATGGTAACATGAACTTTTCAACTGTAATATTCACTGAATGTTTTTAGATCAACAACAATACAAAACATGTCTGCCTCTCTGTAACAGCAGTTCACATTTTTATTAAAGATGTGTGATGGAAGTTTTTTTGTGTCTTCTTTTCATGCAGTGTGGTCGTTGTACAGCAGGGGAACTCATTATTAGTGTTGTACCAACAATAACCCATTAATAACCAGCTATACTAAATTAGGTTTGTTCAGGAATAGTGTCTCAGATTTCTTTAAGTTGGAGGTAGAAATTCAAAATGGCGTTGGTGACTGAAAATGTCGTGACTACAATCAAAGCAAGGTGACCAATCTATTTCCAACAGCTTCTGTGGTAGACAAAGTAATGTTCACAAAGGAAAACACATGCTAAATATTCTTCTCAGTCCAGTGGTGGATACAACTTAAAGGTTAAAACAACTGTTTTATTCACAGTGAGAACCCATAAAGAAGATCTGATTTTTAATTCATTTAAAGCTTTTTCTTTTTTTTCTATGACAAAAAGTCAAAAACCTGCCACCTTCAAACCCTTCACACTGGTGAACTCTTCTATAACTCTACGTACCTGAGTCATGTTTGTGTGAAAGAAAAGAGAGAATGTACCGCTGCCAGCCAATCAGAATCAAGAACTCTTTTCATGAAGGTCCTGGGTTTACTTCAGATTCTGTTCAGACATTCACTCCCCAGATGGTGAAACTCATCTTTTCGTTGAAAAAGTGAAATATTTGATCTAATTAGCATTAGCATGTTAGCATTGTAATTTTGGACATATTAGCTTGCATTATAATAGCATTCAGTTCAAAGAATTTGAGAGCTACTACCATTACTGTCCACTCAAAAAGACGTTTTTGTTGAACATGTTGAATATGAATCAGGATTGCTGATAAGAAGACCCTGAGAAAATACTGTTTGCATGAAAGAATAAACACCAGTACACTTCTTTAATGGCACAGTTATTTTCTGTCTTCTCATTTATGACATTTACAACCACGTTAGACTTAAAGTGTCAGACTCATTTTTTTATTTGGACTCGGTCAGCGTGCTTCAGTTGAAAGTGAAGCTGCAGCATCAAGGTGGTGGTTGACCACAGTTTCACACTCACACGTAAATACACACAGCAGATGGAACATGTGGGTTTAACTGTCACTAAATAATAACAGATAATACATCTGAAAATACAAACCGCATCTCTTTAATATATCTTTAAACATCAACAATGTAGGGCGCAAACCATGAAAACAATTTCTACAATGTAAAATAAAATAAAAAGTGTTTTTTCACACATCAGGTTCAACCAAACATCTCATGTGCTGCTCGTCCTTCATTCAGCAGTCACGCTGCGACCTGAAGACAGAAAGGGTTAACAGCTCTGAGCATACCACAGTTAATGTAAAAAAACACGGGTCGTATCATTCTGAGAAGCATGACAGCTAAAATTTGAACCAAAGCATGTAGGAAATGCTGCCTTAAGTGGTGCTTTGGTTGAACATCAACGTCCAGTGACATAAACGTTTGAAAGCTGTAAATATGGGTTATGTTCTAACCTCTGCTGTCCATCCTACCAGATATGAATGTCAGTAATGTCCTGAGTCTTACCTACTGGATCAAAGAATAGAGGGGTTCCTGTGTCAAAGGTCGGTTGGTACCAGCTGAGTGAACTGTCGCCGTCATGGTTCTGGATACTCCTTGCTCTGTTTGAGTATAGATTGAATTATCCCACAGTGTCACCAAAATACTTACTAGAACACTTGAACATCAGGCACCATTTAGTTTACGTTTTTATTACAATAAGTCTAAACCAATTTCTTGAGTGTCACCTGGGTCACCCAAAGTGGAGTTTAGTCTAAGCTACGGTTATAGCCTCCTTGTTTAAGCTTGAAACATTTCACCTTATTTAACACATTTTCTAAAGTATTTGAACATTTTGATGAAATGAAAGGAATTCTTTGCTTTAACCTTTCTGATCTTTTGCTATCCTGTTATTTTGGGTTCTACGAGGCTTAGGTTTGAATCCTATTTGTTAAAACTTTCCTCAATCCTGCTACCCCCAATGTGTGTGATTTATTATTCATCAATATGCAGATGACGCCCTGTTCTATGTCTGTTAACTGTATTAAACCATTAGACATTAAATCCAAGCTTGGATAATTGACTTTTTAAGTTACAATAATCAATAATAATAACTTTATTTGTAGTTTAAAAAGTGCTATATTATGCATATTCTCAGTGTTTGAATCAGTAGTGTACTTTTCACTTCTCTGTAGACTTTATCAGAGAATATGTCTGCAGCTGAATTCACCTTGACGACTACTTTAAATCTCATATAGAAATAAGCTGTTTTTATTTCTCAGTGAAGAACTTTACCGTTATATTTAAAAAGATCAAACAACCCTCCCTAAAGTCTTAGACATCATTTTAGACCATGTATGTTTTGTATGTATGTTGTATTTCCCTCAGGGATTAATAAAGGATATGAAAAAAATATGGCCTTGAGATACAGACTCATGAAGTAGCCATTTAATGTTGTTAAACTACCCCAGGTTCAAGAGGAAAGGTGTTTCAGATCAAGACATAGGATGGAGAATCGTGAATGTGAAATGAACCGTGACAGGATAAACTGTCAGGTGAGGTACCTCTCTTTGTCCTGTCTTTTGTAATCGCAGCATACATTGCTTGGTCGCTTGGTGCATCTGCTGCCACTCGACGGGCCTCAACAGTGACTGAAAATACAAATGTGTGATAAGAATCCACATCGATACATTACACAGGTATTCAAAATATATAAAGATTTCAAAGTCGAACAATTATATCCACAAACTGGACATTTTCTCTTTCAAGAAGAAAGGAGTTTAAGATCAAGACATAGGATGGAGAACCGTGACTGTGAAATGAACTGTGACAGGATAAACTGTCAAGTGAGGTACCTCTCTTTTTTCTGTCTTTGGTAATCGCAGCATACATCGCTTGGTCACTTAGTGCATCTGCTGCCACTCGACGTGCCTCAACAGTGACTGAAAATACAAATGTGTGATAAGAATCCACATCAATAAAGTACACAGGCATTAAAAATCTATGTCAATTTCCAAGTCGAGCAATCATATCCACAAACTAAGCATTTTCTCTTTCTCCAAAGAACATGAGTTTTAAATTAATGTGATTAAATAAATTGTCTTTTTCTAATGAGGACTAAAGGACAATAGATTTCCCTTTTCACACTTCAAAGGACATTTGCTCTGATTATCGTCGATAAGACTAGCAGGCTGCTTTTTAAAAAATCTATCACTCCTTTGTTTTAAGTGCAAGTTTACCTGAACATGCTAATGGTACCTGTTCTTACCTGTTTGAACCTCAGCTGTGCCTGATTGAGGTGCCAGTGTGGACAAGTACAGCAACACTGTAGTGCATGAAATGAAAAAAAACACTATGAACAGGAAACCAGGAAGACATTGAGACATGATGAAAGAATAACGCCACTTCCTGGTTTAAATATGTGCAATTTGCAACTAGGACTGACGGCCGACGATCTCCTTGGTGTGACAGGGTCTTTAGAATCCATAAGCTGTGTTCAAGACCCCACTGTTATTAACTGGCCCATTCATCCATTAAATAAATTAAACAAACGTAAAATGCAAATATTCCACATGGACTGTGACCCATCAATCGCTATAAGCGCCTCTCGTTAGTGAAATGTGTTTGTACCTTTGTTCCGAATGTATTTGCCGAAATGAAGAAGTCCAACCAGCAACAACAGAATCGATAAAACAGTCATAACTATCCAAGGGGTAGAACAGGATGAGACATTCTCTCCCTGGATTTCTGGAATATAATTACAAAGTATTAAGAGAAACAATGACAGAGGATTTTAGTTTTGGATTGATTGAAAGATTAGAAAAAAAATTAAGATTTTAACAAACAATTCAAGTTTGTTAAAACTCTTGAATCATTGTCAATATGAGACCACAGATTCACTGGGTAACCTACAAAGGGATGAAGAGGATGTGAGCCAAAAATTAGCATTTGGCTAACTTGGGTACATGAATAAATTATTATTTTATTTTTGTGTCAGGTCATTTATAAGACCCATCTCACATGGAAGTACATTTACATCCGTCTGTATGTTGATTAATGTGCACTGTCCTTTTCAAATCAATCAATATACTGTTTCAACACATAGTTATCTCACACATATTTTTCAATTTGATTTGGTAACACTGATGTGTCTCACCTTGGACAGCCATCAGACTCTCGGCTGATTCTCTTCCTCCAGAGATACACTTGTAGAATCCTTCATCACGTTTGGAAACACTGGGGATGCTCATGTTTCCTGTAGAGCTTCTTCTGATAAGGTGGCCATCTTTGTAGAAATCAGCTGAGAGATTGGTAGAGGTCGTCTTGTGTCTGCAGCGCAGAGTAACAGCCTCCCCTCCACCACACTGATGGGACTCTCCAGGATCACATCACCAGCTGAACAACATGAGTTTATATTTTATATCACACAAAGATGAGTGCATGTAAAGATCTCGTCTTAATACAAACATACCAGTAACAGTGATGTGGATGATGTCACTTCTCTTCCCATCTCTGGACTCACACCAGTATTGCCCACTGTCCTGTGGAAAAATATTAGGAATAGTACAGGATGACCTTTTTGATGTCACTGTAGTTTTACATCTGAGTAATTCCCCTTTGGACCGATGTACAATTTTCAATCCAGTTAGTCATGAGAGCCCTCACAATGGAAGATCAGAGACTCGTATTCAAAGAACTGCAGTCTGTTTGGTTCAAGATGGAGAATCAGTGAATCTGAAACAAACCAAAGAAAGACATGATCTCTTATTTCACCAGAAAGTACCAACTGAAGTTAAAATACAACTAAGCATCAACCTGGTACTTACCAACGTCCTGAACATGTGCACACAGCAGGAATAACACGTGGACCACTGGAATAACAGAAGAGAAGAGCTCCACATTGAGTGAGACGCGTTTTAACAGTCGTATATTCAACTGATTCTTATAGAATAGACTCTTCAGTTTTAACCAATCGTACTCACAGAGTTTGATGCAGAGCGTGCCGACCTCCATGTTGACTGTCTGAACACCAAGCTGAACTGAAGTGTAACGGAGGAGGGGCTTCTTCCTGTGTAGCCTATTTATGCTGCTCATGTTCTCCTAAGTTTGACACTTAGATTTTTTTTGAAAATGAAGTTCACACTAACTGAGCTGCTGTGGTGGTGGTAACACCTCAGTTGATAGATTAGCGTCATTGGGCGGAGCCAAAGAACGAAGCGGACTGCTATGATGTGAAAACATTGATACAAACACGTAAAGTCAGGCAGTTTGAAATAAAAAGGTCAGCTTTTAAAAATATAAACACAAGATATCTGCAGACACACCTGCAGGCTGAAACTATAAGCCCTCATCCTTCGGTCAATTTGCTCATTTGATGGTCAGGTGTTGCTGCTGTGAGCCTGAAACAAACTGCAATAGAACCGTCCACACAGTTTTACAGCAACAATATGGACGACTTTCAGCGTTTTCCAAGTCCTGCTGGTTTTTGTTGAACATGTTGAATATGAATCAGGATTGCTGATAAGAAGACCCTGAGAAAATACTGTTTGCATGAAAGAATAAACACCAGTACACTTCTTTAATGGCACAGTTATTTTCTGTCTTCTCATGTATGACATTTACAACCACATTAGACTTACAGTGTCAGACTCATTTTTTTATTTGGACTCGGTCAGCGTGCTTCAGATGAAAGTGAAGCTGCAGCATCAAGGTGGTGGTTGACCACAGTTTCACACACGTAAATACACACAGCAGATGGAACATATGGGTTTAACTGTCACTATATAATAACAGATAATACATCTGAAAATACAAACCACATCTCTTTAATATATCTTTAAACATCAACACATGTAGGGCGCAAAGCATGAAAACCATTTCTACAATGCAAAATAAAATAAAAAGTGTTTTTTCACAAATAAGGTTAAACCAAACATCTCATGTGCTGCTCGTCCTTCAGTCAGCCATCACACTGCGACCTGAAGACAGAAAGGGATAACAGCTCTGAGCATACCACATTGATATAAAAAAACACGGGTCGTATCATTCTGAGAAGCATGACAGCTAAAGTTTGAACCGAAGCATGTAGGAAATGTTGCCTTAAGTGGTGCTTTGGTTGAACATCAACGTCCAGTGACATAGACGTTTGAAAGCTGTAAATATGGGTCATGTTCTAACCTCTGCTGTCCATCCTACCAGATATGAATGTCAGTAATGTCCTGAGTCTTACCTACTGGATCAAAGAATAGAGGGGATCCTGTGTCAAAGGTCGGTTGGTACAAGCTGAGTGAACAGTTGCCGTCATTACTCTGGATACTCCTTGCTCTGTTTTGAGTATAGATTGAATTATTCCACAGTGTTGCCAAAATACTTACTAAAACTTGACATCAGGCACCATTTAGTCTAAGCTACAGCTATAGCCTCCTTGTTTAAGCTTGAAACGTTTCACCTTATTTAGCACATTTTCTAAAGTATTTGACTAATTTGATTAAATGAAAGGAATTTTTGCGTTAACCTTTCTGACCTCTTGCTATCCTGTTATTCTGGGTTCTACGAGGCTTAGGTTTGAATCCTATTTGTTAAAACTTTCCTAAATCCTGCTACCTCTAATGTGCGATTTATTATTCATCAATATGCAGATGACGCCCTGTTCTATGTCTGTTAACTGTATTAAATGAAACAATAACGCCACTTCCTGGTTTAAAAATGTTCAGTGGTCTTGCTTTGTTCTTGTTTTGTTTTTTCACAGCAGATATTCGTCAAATACAGTTATAAATTAAAAAGGTTGTTATAACCAACCATTCACATAATAAGTTCTGTTTTGGATGTTTGCATCATCAGAGTTTAACTATTCTGGTCTAATAAAAATTTGAAAATGGCGCTGGCGTTCTCAGCCAGAAGAGGTGGAGGCGACACATAAGGAGGGGTCTGTGGGGAAATATTTTCAACCCTAACCACAAACCATGTATCGCATTAGAAGCAAAAATCCTCACCTCGTGGACACTTCAGTCATATGTTCAGAGAGTCAACATGGAGGTCTGTGCTCTTAACATCAGGCTGTGTGAGTATGATTCTTTATCTGTTTCATAAATATTTCTGTACCTGTTTTTATTAAATCTAACGTACAACTCCTCTTCTTTCCAGTGATCTTTGTGTTATTCCTGCTGGGTGTAAATGTTCAAGATGTGGGTATGTACCGTTCAGTTTCTCAATATTATTGTTCAAATGCTTCATTTTGGTATTTTGTATGACATAAGAGAACATATCTTCTTTGGTTTGTTTCAGATTCACTGATTCTCCGTCTTGAACCAAACAGACTGCAGTTCTTAAATACGAGTCTCTGATCTTCCATTGTGAGGGCTCTCATGACCGACTGGATTGAAAATTGTACATCGGTCCAAAGGGGAATTAGTGAAATGTCAAACTACAGTGACATCAAAAAGGTCAACCTGCACTATTCCTAATCTTTTTCCAGAGGACAGTGGGCAATACTGGTGTGAGTCCGGAGATGGGAAGAGAAGCGACATCATCCATATCACTGTTACTGGTATGTTTGCATTAAGACGAGATCTTTACACGTACTCATCTTTTGCTTATCCTGTTATTTTGGGTTCTTGGAGGCTTAGGTTCAATCCTATTTGTTAAAACTTTCCTAAAACCTGCTACCCGCTCATGTGTGTGATTTTTTATTCATCATATGCAGATGACACGCACTTTCTGTGTCTGTTAACTGTATTAAATGATTAAGCATTAAATCCAAGCTTGAAAAAATTTACTTTTAAAGTTACAGTAATAATAACTTTATTTAT